CCCCAAAACCCCAAAACCCCAAAACCCCATTTAACCATAATTATAATTGTAAAGATGGGCCAAGCAGCTTGATGCTCTACACGTCCTGATGATGCAGCATTGGGTATTGGAGCAAACCTTGAGAAAAAGAACCTTGAAACTTACAAGCCAGTTCTTGAGAAGGTAAGATTTGTTGTTATTGATAAATTATTCCAATTTCTCTTAAATTTTAGTATTTCTAACTAAGATTTAGATAAGAAAATATGAGTTTGAGTGCGAAGAGGACTCAAAGAGTGAGAACCAAGACACTCAGAAAGAGTCCTTAAGAAGCACAGCAAGGGTAGTTTATAATTTAAACGAAATTTTTAACACAGATATGGGTGAACAAATGATAAGAGAGTTCAAATAATTTTATCTTCCTCGTGAAGCTACATAACCAGGAGTATAAAGTTGAGATGACAAGGAGGATAACTAAGAAGAAGTAAGGAGCTTCTCTACTGTGATAATGACAATATAGAAACTTCCAAGAGGAGCTTAAGACATATGAGCCTCTAATACCCTCTCCGATAGTTGATAAAATATGGTGCTGTATTATATCAATGGGGAATGCTTATGAGAAATTTTGAGAATCTACCTTCGATTCCTATCTTCACAGAAAAGATCCAATGAGAGAGAACGCGACTAATACAAGGGCTAATTATGCCTATACATACAAACTATTGAAACAATATAATGAAATTATTGACCCAGATTATCAATTTTGGCCAGATCTGGATGTAGAGGACTATGCTTTCGAACACATAAATTTTGTACATGTAGATATTAACAGAGTCAGGGAGATAGATTTTTCAGGTAATTCATGAATCTCTCATCAATCTTGGTTTAACCAAACTAATTTTTAGGTGTAAACCCGCAAATTATGAGTGTGTCTCAGCAAATGGCAAATGCTAATAAGTTAAGGTATCTAGGCTATTTTTAACTATAGACAAAAACTTATACAAAAAGGAGAGGGAGACTATGACGATAAGATCTTGTTCGAAAGCATGCATGTCAAGACACCTCAAGGAGCAAAATCCATTCACAGAATCTACAGAGGCATTAAGAGAGCTAATACGAAGTATGAGGCAATCCAGAAGCGACTTGTGCTAAAGTTCCTTATCACCAAAGGTATCTCAAATTTATACACCTTATCGAGGATATCCTTTTAGGCTATCTTAGAACTGTTTTGAACTATTTATAGACACAGCAACTGTTTGGATGGAAGAGTTTCACAAATATCTTATTATTGTCGCTTATTTTGATAAGGATATTGGGTCAATGATGCCATCACAGACACTAAAGATCGTGTGGGAGACTTATAGAGAATTTACACAGAATTGGACCAACATTTGCCATAGTTTGTTGGTAAATAACAATGGTAACTTTTATAGGATAACAACGATGATGCTCCAAAAGAAGCGTTTAAAATTTATACAGACACCGGACCATCACTCCCATCACCTCCTATCGAGGAGAAATCTTTGCTCCTCTCAAAGGCTTATGAGGAAATGTTTAAAAAGGAACCTCCTGAGGATATATGGCAACTAGAGTCAAGAGTTGACCAGAAGTTTATTTGAATTAATCTCTTTAGAACGGTAAGGTTTCTTTTAAAACTTAAGCTTGTACTTTAAATGTCGTATATAAGGAGATTAGAAGAATAGTTTTGTCAATTTAGTTGAAAAATATACATTTCATCAGATTAGTCGCAATAGAAGATATTTTTGCTTATCTTACTAAAAATCTTTGGTGAATAGAAATGAGTCTACCAAGATGGTACTAGTTTTTGGACTGATCAGTTTTTATTTATTTTGATATAGGAATATTTAAGCAAGAAGCCTTTTACAAAGATCACTGACATCAAGCTTCAGCACGACCCCATGCACAACCTCTTGGAGTGGCAAATAAAAACGCTTTAGTTCATAAATCAGTAGAAATATATGTTCTTTTACTTCTTACTTGTTAAACTTATCTGGGATTGGTTCTGTTGTAACTTGATTTAAGATTCAATTTTTTTGAATTAGGTTGGGGTTTTGGGGTTTTGGGGTTTTGGGGTTTTGGGGTTTTGGGG